CGGCTGAGACAAAAATATTAGTAAGTCTGGTCCGAGTCAGTTAGACTGAAGAAAAAAAAATTACGCCATCTCCAAATAAAGGGAACCATGTGTAGATGCGTAGTAGCGGGCGTTAACGCCTACGCTGGCGGCGGCGTTGACGCTAGCGCTCATCGCGCGGGAGAGAAACCTGTAGAGACGCAGAGCACGCCGTGATGGGCCGGTGTTTTTTTATTGATTTTTATTTTTTTCTTTGTTGAATCATACAATACAAAAGATCATCAGACTGCTTGGACTCGTAGCCAATGGCTAGTCCTGGGTCCAAAAAGAAAATATATACAGTGATGCGGGCTTACTGTTACATAAAAAAACTGTTTCAAAAAACGAGTTTCTTACTGGAACATGCCAATCGCTGCTAATGGGCAATGAGAGACAGAATACGCAGATTGGACAAAGAGACCCGCAGTCAGCTATGATAGTTAACCTGCACGCTGTGGATTTTTGTTCAACAACGCGCAGGATAAATTTCCCACTGGTTCTACCTTGAAGGTCAAGATCCAGTGCCTATAAATGCGGGCAATGCGGGGTGGCCAGTGAACGATTTTGTAGCGTGAGCAGTCGGTTTTTTTTCTTTTTCAAATAAGAAACTCGCTAGCAGACGCTATACCTGCCAACGTTACTAGAACCAGGTAACGTTGCTACCTGCGTTGGCGTTGTGAGGTGAGAGTGGGGGCTTTTTACGAGTGATTTTTGAACGTATTCAGTGATTTGTAGAGAGTAGAGAAAGCAATTTTTCGCTGAACTTGATAATTTATTGCGACTTCCATCCGCGTGCTGCACTATAATATTTGGCTCGCGTGTGGTCGGAATATCGGCAATGTTTTCTGACCATGCTCAAAAAGTGTTGCAGGGTCCTTTTAAGTAGTATCGGAATCGTCGGCCATTTCTTTATCTCTTTTTTTTTTCTCCTCAACCAAGCGTTTATTCGCTCGCACGGCTGCAAGAATTGACTGAAATGCTCACAGCAGTGTCATCTTTGGGCGGTGTTTTCTTCGCAGTGACATGCAGCAACTCGTATGACATAAGCAAAGACCACATAATAAACATCGGGGTTCGGGGCAGAATTGAACCGAGGTGTCCTTTGTGGCAGTCGGGTATTCTCCCGCTAAGGAAACGAATAGAGCACAAGTGCTTTGCCGCGTGCAGAGGTGTGATGTAGAGTGGCATGCAGAGGAGTATATAGAATTGCACCGTCTGGACTGCGTAACGAGTATATAGTTACCAATCGTCCAGGATTTTGCGGGACTGTCCCGACTTTTCGTGCACCCGAGTCTCACGTCGTCCTTGTCGGGACTGCTAGATGTCCCGGATTTGTTCCGGACCGTCCACTTAGAGATTTTTACGTGATCCAACGCGCCTCGCGATAAGAAACACGAAGTTCGCACTAATCGCATGTACAAAACAAAGTTTTGGTAGCTGCGGCTGCGAGAGGCTCTAGTTGCTTTGGCTGAACTGCCACGTGAAGTTCGACATATTTTACGAGTACAACATTCAGCAAGATGAAGTGCTGCGAACAGCACTTAGCCAGTTGAAGTGGTTGCAAAGGCCGCAACTATAAAGAAACAACTGATCTGTCTGAAACCGATTCTGCTGGCTCACTACATAACGGCATGACACCCCCCCTCCCTTTCCAGACTTCCTTCATTGAAGAGTTGGTAACCCCAGTAACAAGTGGGTGATCGAAAGCTGCCAACCATTACACATCACACACATCAACGCAGACGCTGACCGTGAAAATGTGGTACTACAAAAACTCGTGACAGCACGGAACATTGATGCACGCGATGTATCCAGAGACCTGAGGGCGGGACTGCAAGTTTTGTCCACCGGACACACGCAACATGCACCTCATGATGCTGGAGTGAAGCATCATCGAGTGAAAACGAAGAGAAAGAAGTGGATCCAGTGGAAGTATTCGAAAATCAGTGGGGAAACCAGCGTGGGTGTGGGCCACTGTCCAAGGTTTTACTCTCTGCTGGCGATGCATGTCTCTGAAAACATACCATTTGTGAACAGGACTCGGGCAGTGAACTAAGGCTGCCTGAACTGAGCAGCCCACTGAAGTACGAGGAGCCTGGTCTAAACTCATTTTTCTCTTTCTCCAGCACCAACAAAGATGATTATGATTAGGAGCTGGGAACCCCGGAAATTTGTGAGCCGCCACGCCAGTATGCATGCGCAAAGCCGAATCCACTCTTCAGTTCTTGTGCTCGTACTCTCCCAAGACTTATAAATATCGAAAGCTAGCGTGGGTCCCAAGGCCTCTTGGGACGCCACGTCGCAGCACTGACCGTGACACAGTGTGGCCCGCGTCTCGCATGATCTTAGTTTCTCTCAACTCTGATGCTCCTCCCAACTATACCCAACGCAGATGCAGCCCCCAGTGTCTTGAGCACCGAATCATAAAACTAGTTCGCGGCTTTCACCTTTGAGTCTTCATAGGCGACTGCATAGCAGTTTTCTGCCCATCACCGGATGTACCTCACCTGCCACCATGCTATGGTGCCGCGTGATGAGGTGATCGTGTGACGTCACAAACGTTGGCGATCTGCGACGTCATCACGTGGTGACGATCTTTTTGCATCGCCCATTCCAGACGCCGGGGGACGCCGATGGTCTAGTTTCGTGTATGATGAAGTATCTATGGGTATCTATGCTTACTGATCCTAGCACGCAGCTATTATTTGCACGCTATAGAAGTCAGAGCGGCCTGATCGGAGTGCTTTAAACGGACAGGCAAACCACAGCACTGACCACAAACCGCATCTGTAGAAAGTGACTGCCACTTGAAGACACTAAGCCAACGAGGACGATTTTGGCAAGGTGGCAAGGTTAATACACAGGATACGCGCTTCCACATTTCAAAATCAAGGACCTTCAGTCACTCAGCCAATCAATCAATTCCGTCGAATGGACACTGAATTGAAACAACGACTTGGTTTAGATTCATAAACTGTGTAGAACTCTGATACCGTAAGTTTTAACGTCATAAGTTCGTCATTAAAAAAGAAAATCAAGGTTGAAGTTTCGTTTTGAAATTTGGCGGCGAAATAACAGCGCGTGACGTCACTGATGTCAAAATGTACTTCTCGTTGTTGTTGTTGTTTTTTTTTTTTGTCTGCGTTGGCTTGACGAGATTCTCTGAAACTTAGTATCTTAAGGAACCCGCACAGATAAAAATGTACTTCATTTTTACGGATTAGGTGCCTCGTGGAACCCAAGACACCGTCAAAATTTTCTACGTTATACGGTGTCTGGTGCCGAAAAACGAGCGTCTTCACCCGCACTTTGTTTTCGCGCATTTACTTGTTTACCAAGCGTCGTCCCGCGGTGAGGCGGTTGTTTTCAGAATTGCGCAATTTCACTTTACTACTACGCAAACTATCATTTATCTTTCTCGTCTCCATTTAAGACCATTTGCAATAAGTTAACACTTGTGTGTGTTGGAGGTACAAATGCGGTTATTGTCATAACTATATCGTCTGATATCTGACTGTACGTCGGTCCCAGGAAGTGAGCCCGAATACCGTACCTGGAGAAGAGATGCACCTTGCTCCACAAGACTTCCGGCCAGCGCGCCTCCTGGTCCGGAGACCTGCAGGGCGCGGGAGAAGACGAATCGAGTACGTATACGCACAGCATCGTGAACAACGAGCAATGTTCAAGTAATGATTTTACTATTTTGCAAACGAAGCCGAACCTTAGTTGGTTCTGGACCATGATCATCAGCCGCCGCGCGGTGCAGCGGTTAGGGCGTTTCGGCCCTGGTCTGAAGGTCAAGGGTTCGATTCCGGTTGTGGCGGTCGCATTTTACGGAGGCGAAATGATATATAGTGGCTCGTGTGCCGCGCGATGGGAACGCGCGTTAAAGAACGCCAGATGGCGGAAATTCCCGGCGCCATAATAGATCGTGGGTTTGGACGTAAGCACGAGTTATTATTATTATATTATTATTATTATTATATATATTATTATTATATATTATTATTATTATTATTATTATTATTATCGTCCTTGTTGTTGTTGTTGTTGTTGTTGTCGTCGTCGTCGTCGTCGTCGTCGTTGTATATGAAGTGTGTGGCATGGCCAGTGCGTTGGTTACTCTTCACGCCATGTTTACCGCATAATCGGGTGTCTACGTAAACTGAAGCTTCCATTGAGATGATATAATCAAATTCCAGGGAATCTGCCAAGTGTTTCGCAGCGTAACTCGGTGACGTACGGGCTCTTTTTGAACGTAGCGGTTATTGCGCGCGTAAATACGTTGACCCTTTCTTCTCATAACACGTCATAGCATGCGATATGATCGAAACGACAGCGAGACACCCAAATGGAGCGCCGTCACCCTCCTTTTTTTTTTCTCTCTCGTTCGAAGGAGGCTGCGCCAGACCCGTGCTCCGTCGAAGCACAGCACCGCGGGGAAGAGGTTCTGCAGTCCGTGTACCACGTGGTCTACAGCGTCAGCTACGGAGTGCCCGTCATGTACTTCAACGTCTGGAGACGCGGTGATTTATTATATACCTTGTTCACGTACAAGCTTTGTCACGCATGCTGCCAAAAGGACGTCCTATACAGTCTGCATTCGTACATTTGCTTTAATGAGTTTCGATATGTATGTGTCCTTTATTTATGCCTTCCGTAGTTTCATCGCTAGATGAGTGTTCTACATAATTCTACTGTGTACACTTGTCCAGTTTGTAGTCAGTGGCAAGCTAAAATAACGAGTACACTATCGCACTATTGATTGGTGTTATGCGCGTCCAAGTAGAGCTACCCTTTGCTATGGCGTAATGATTAGGTCGAAGCAATGAAAAAAAAAAATAACTCTGATCAATGCGTACACAGCATCATCCTCGCCGGTCGTCGTACGATGCAGTTGAAGTTTGTGATTGTGCCTTGTTTGACGTACACCGCACAGGCGGCCTGCAGAAGCTCGGAGTGTTTTGCTTTTCCGCAGCGCGAAGTAGCAACACGGCGGAAGCACGAAAAGTAAGGGCAATGCGGCCTGGCGCGCGGAGCCTATATTTTTGTTAGGCTGTCATCGACTATATAGACATGTTACCTATTGCGACGTTCCTCTGTCTCACCACAGTTCATTACTCCAACTCTTCCACATACTTCTACAATGAACTTCTCACTTCTTTTCGGGTCTCTTAGCAGTAGTCGTAACCGACACTTCTTTCACTCCTCGATTGTCTCTCTCCCTGCCAATATAATTTCTCACGGATTCTCTGTGACGCAGACGGCAGCCTGCTTCCTCTGAGTGACGTATGGTCGCTGATGCCGGAATGCCTGCAGGAGCAACTGAAGCATCTGCGATGGTCTACCGTCACGCAGCAGGTGTGTATTATAAAGAGTCGATTTTCTGGACACTTGTACAAGCCGGCGTATACGTACAGTTGTCAAAAGGAATTGAAGTAAAGCAAACAAGCGCGACGAAAATCGGTGTACTTTGCGGAATTTGATGTTAACTATCGTGATATAATACCGCACAGCGTTTAGTACTGCTTATGGTTGAGTAACTACATACTGGAGCCGTATTTTATAACTATTTCGTTTCCGAACTTTGCCAAAACGCAACTGGGCGTGACATCCCCATGCTTCTGCCACGCCCGTGTGGGGTCGGAATCACCCAATCGCGTGTTAGCTTAGTGAACTCTTCGGAAACGAGATTGTTACAGAATGCAGCACGTGTTATCCCTGATTCGATAACAGGGCTGTTGGGACAGCTGTATAATTGCCTCAATGATGCAACTTGGCGGAATTTGGCGGTGAGTCGGGCAAGGCTATATTCTAGATGCGGTGCCAGATGTAGAGGGCGTGTGATATTAATCACTCTATAACCTCTAGGATGGATGGTGGATGGATGGGTATGGCTGTACCCTTTACATTGGGCGGTGGCTAGCGCCACCAAGCCGTAATACTTATGAACCAAAACTATATTTATTTTTTTCCTTTAAAATAGTGAGTTTGGCGATTCGTACTTTGCAGTGAGGGTTTAAATTTCACTCGTGCCTTGACTTTTGGCCACCAATAAGATAACCTCCTTCTAGTTAATTCTACCCACTTAACGTCTATTTTGCCCTCCCTGTCCCTAAACCCCAGTGCTTTGAAAAACTGCGCCATCATCTTGAACAATAGGGTGAAGCCCTTAACAGAACATTATCAAGTGTTCGGCAGTTTCTTCTTCTTCCTCTCCACACGCACTGCATACTTGGTCTACCCCTTCGTATTTGGCCCGATATGTCTTGGTTCGAATACCCTGTCCTGGCCTCAAACAGTAGAGAACTACCCGAGTATTATCATAGATCCTTTCCTTGGCAATTCCTTGCTTAAAAGTCGATAGATCTCTAGTTCGGACTTCTAATCAGGCCAATTCTCCACATATCGGGTCTCAGCTTCCTTCACCTTCTTCTTAACCTGATGATCATCTTTTTGGTTTGGCCCCCTGCTTATTTCCAAGTATTTACCAGTCAATTTCTGGTTCGCTTCCTCCATTTTGTATCAACATTCTTCATGTACAAGTAGCTGAATACCTTCCTAGCCCAACGCTCCCCCCCCATTTCTCTCAATCGCTTCTCAAATTTTATCTCGCTGCTAGCTTCCCTGCCCTCAACTTATGTCCATCCCATATCACCTTGCACTCCCCTCATTGGTGTATTCCCGTGAGCTCCTAAGGCAAGCCTATCTATTCCACGTTGCTTTATTTCTAATCTTGCTTGAACTTCTGATCTCTCTCACACAAGAACCGCATTGCCGACCGTCAGCCCAGAAACCATGACCCCCTAAGGCAAGCCTATCTTTCCCTTGCTTTATTTCTAATCTTGCTTGAACTTCTGATCTCATGCACAAGACCGCATTGCCGACGCAGCCCAGAAACCATGACCCTTTCCATATTCCTCTCACAACATCATACCTATTGTAATTCCACAGTGCCCTATTTTTCGTCACTGCTGTATTCCTGTTACCTTTAGTCGTCACGTATATTTCGTGTTCCCTCAGGTACTCGGTCCCATTGCTTATCCATACGCCCAGATATTTGTATTTGTCTGTTATCTCTCTAGCGTGACCTCCTGTATCCTAAGCTCACTACCTTCGTTGTCATAGAAAATCATGACTGCTGATTTTTCCTTACTGAATCTAAAATCTAACCTATCTCCCTCATTACCGCAGATGTCCACCAATCTCTGCAAATCTTCTTTGTTGTCGGCCATTAGCAACTATATCATCTGCGTTACATCATGGCGCTGGTAGTGCCTGTTCAATTAGAGTTTCCTTGTTTGACTAAAGAGAGGTGAAGCCCAGTTCCACTTCCCTCTAATTTGGGCTCTAATCCTTGTAGGTATAATGAATATAGGGTGACAGGGACACCCCGGCCTATCCCCCGTTTTACCTCCGCAGGCTTGATACCTGTTTTTCTTCTCACTTTTATATTACCTTGTTACTTTTATAGATTATCCTTTAAAAGATTAGTGGCTACATGTCCCGCCTAGTGTGTACAGTATTCCCCCAATTCCTCTTGAACCACGCCTATCGTACGCTCCCTTGATATCCAAGAATGCTACCACAGGGGCCTAGCTTGTGTTCCTTCTGCTATTTCGTGCACTGCGTCAGTGAGAACATTTGTTTCCACCCTCCTGTGTTTCCGAAACCCATTCTGTAGTTCCCCCAGCACCCCCTCATCCTCTATCCACGCCTGCAGTCTTTCCTTATACTGCATCGCCAGCCTGTAGACCACTGATGTCACTGTTTATAGGACAGTAGTTGTTTATGTCACTTTTCCCCTTTCCTTTATAGATCATGCTCATCCTGCTAATTTCCATTCATCGGACTTCTCCATCGATTATTATTTTGTCACTGCCTTTCTCAAAGCCTGCTTAGAGATCGGACCTAACTTGTCTTTATCGCATAATTGGAATGCCATCCGGCCTGTTGTAGTACTACACGGAACCCTTTTCTCAGCCCTTTCCCACTCTCGTTGTGAAAATGGAGCCATTGCGCAGCTTTGATTCATCCTGTGTCATTCTGGTGCATAAAGCACTCTTTGTTGAATTTTTTCTCTCACCCTTGTTCTTATATATTCAATAGCTTATCCCCTTCTAGCCTAGCCCCTTGAGCTGTAGTTATAACCTCTGCTCTAGGCTTCCTCTCATTTCTTACAAGGTTTAGATGGTTCCAAATTTCCGCAGCTCCTTTCTATCTTTTTTATGTACTTCTCTGCCAGCCACTGAGCTCCCTTTCTCTAATCTTTTTCATTGATCATCAAGGATTCATCCCTTCTACAGCTTGTAGAAAGATTATCGCGCAAACAGCACCGTCGAGCTTGCGCGCACAGTGCACACACACATCACACACACCGCGCAAAAAGGAAGAGCACACACAACACACAAGTGCGCCCACACAGGCAGACGTGCCTTCGAGCGCTCTCCCATACACATACATTAAGCACACGCACACGCACGTAATACTCACGTGACCACACACACCACACCACACACACACACACACACACACACACCACACACCACACCACACACACACACACACACACACACACACCCCTGCGCGTGCGCACTAGGTCCAACACAAAAGGCGCGACACACAAAAGCACATACAAATATACGTAATCACGCACGGAAGAACACACACACACTTGCCTCCCAATCGCTTGCACGAAGCCCTCACTTCTCGGCGGAGACCTACACATTACCGTAAGGAAGGCCGAAGTGCACACACCATCTTCATTGCTCTACCTTGAATTGTTCCCTTCAAAGGAAAGCTCGATATAAAGCAGTATGTGAAAGGCAAGCCACACCCCTGGGGTGTAAAAATCTTCATGCTGTGTGGAGAGTCTGGCATTGTGTATTCTTCCCTGCCTTATCAGGGGTCAACAACAAGGCTAGACGAAAGCCTAAAACAGCAGTATGGCGTGACAGGCGCTATAGTGTCACAGCTTGCTCACCGTATTCCCTGCGACAAGGGGCACAAGCTATTTTTTGACAATTATTTTACGTCACTGCCTCTGCTGCGCATGCTCCTTGATAAGAAGATATTTGCTGCAGGAACAATTCGAGTCAACCGATGTCAAAAATGCCCGCTGGAGCCAGAGAAAAATCTAAAGCAAAAAGGTCGCGGTTCTTCCGCTTCTGTGGTCAGCAAAGATGGAAAAGTGGCGGTCACACGATGGTACGACAACAAGGCTGTGACTCTGGCATCGAACTTTGTGGCTATCGATGATGAAGACACCGCAAAGCGCTGGAGCAAGAAAGATGGGTGCTACATAGAAGTAAAACGGCCTGCTGTTGTAAGAATGTACAACAGCAGCATGGGTGGAGTTGATAAAACCGACTTCCTAGTGGCACTCTACCGCACGAAGATTCGGTCACGAAAATGGACACTGAGGATGATATTTCATGTTATCAATGCTTCAGTCGTGAATGCATGGCTTGAATACAGAAGAGATGCAGTCGCACGAGGGCTGACGTCTGCCAGTCAGCTGGACTTGCTCGACTTCACTCTGAGTATTGCAGAAGCCCTTGCACGAGTACAGAGCCTGCCCAAGGCGAGAAAACGCGGAAGGCCATCGCTCTCACCTTTGCAACCTTCTAAAGAAGCAAAATATACCGAAAATAGGCCTGTGCGAGATGTGCGATACGACGAGGTGGGACACTGGCCTATTCGCTCTGACAGCAGGGAGCAGCGATGTAAGCTGGAGGGTTGCACGGGACAAACGCGTATAATGTGTGAGAAATGTAAGGTGCATGTGTGTCTTGCCAAGTCTCGAAACTGCTTCCGAGCATTCCATATGCATAAGTGATGAAATTTGTGCTTGGAACTATATTGTACTTTTCACATAGCAATAAACCAACTTTTCGCTGTTTCGCAACCACTGAGCCCTGATGTGCGGTTTTGACGACGTAGATGTAAATCGGTAAATAATCGCAGAAATGAATTTTTTTTTTGCTTAGTTAAGTTTCTAGAGTCCTTGAGGTATCAAATATCTAAACGAAAAAAATCTGTGTAGAAAATAAAAATTCCAGGGCTGAAAGGGTTAAATACAAGCTCAAAACATTCAAAACAACTTATCTGCGCAGTCGATCGGGAGTGCTCAAATAACACGTCCATCCACCGTGACAGTCCGAACCGACAGTCCGAGGGTGTTGGTTCTGGGGTGCCCTCTATGTTATTGGGTACATAAAGTGGTGGTGGTAGTGGTTAGAAGAGGAGAAAGACACCTAATTACTGCAGCCCGGTTGGTAGCACAGCGCCGTGCCTGGTATGGTGTACTAATAATAAACGGGGTCACCTGTGTTGGGAACGCGGAGCGTGCGTCTCGTTAGTGCGTCCCTGGCCGCCTCTGCTCGAACGCGCCCACTACACCAGAGTCCGCCATATATCGTCTAAATCTGTAATATTACGTAATATTCGGAGCCAATCGGAGAACCCTTTGTAAAAGATCACAATGATATGTGGGGTCCATGCCCCAAATCCACGATATGATCATGAGAGGCGCCCTAGTGTGCACAGGCTTCGGAAATGTCGACCATCCGGTGTTCTTTAACGCGCACTGACATCGCACAGAACACGGGCGTCTACACCATTTCGCCTCCATCGAAATGCGACGGCCATGGCCGGTATCGAACCCGCCACCTTCGGTTCAGCAGCCAGTGTGCTTACCGCATTCCTCCATGGTGCAGGAGCACCCGATCCAGGGCGTCCCCTACTTCCAGTTGCACCCGTGCAAGACGGCCGAGCTCATGGAACAGACTCGACCAAAGCACCAGGACGGGTGAGTGCTTATTTCACTCTGTATTTGGCCGATAATCTTGCCAGTTTTGTGTCCGTAACGCCTGCACGAACGGCGCTCCAGTATAAGCTGACGCACGCATGAAGACAGTTGCGCGGTTGCATTCGGCGTGCTGTTGTCTTCCATATCCGACGTCGGTCCATGGTATATACGGGCGCAGTGTTCTCCGGATCGGATAGAGTTTGAATTAAACCAAAGACAGACACGACCCCTGCACGTCGGCGTTGGCCTTCTATCGCTTCGGGGTATTTTCGCAGCCGTCGTCAATTTGCCCTTCCCGTTTCCTATGTCCCTCGTTGTACGCATGCTGCAGTTGGGGTGTATGGTCCGCGCCGTCGCTTCGTAGCCATCGCCATTTGTTTGTTTCCTTATGGCACATACACTATGGGGAATTGGCCAAGAAAGCGCAGCGTAGCCTTCGAGTGAGCACTACAATGCTGCTTATTAATATTTTTATAAAACCAACAAAAGACATAAAATACAAATAATGTATGAAAATTGCGAAGGACGATGGAAGAAGAAACAGCAAAAAGTGAAATTATAAAATTTTGAACCGACCAGATATCTGCGCTTAATTCAACCAAGCATTTAGAATATATGCATTAAAACGCTTATTAATGTTACTTCAACAGTATTTATTGGACTCGCGTTTAGTTGGGCTACCTTGCCTTCTTGATGTTTAGCGTACCAGTGGTGAGTAATGGTATTCACCCACCTTCTGTTGCATGTACCCGTTTATATGATAACATTTTTTTCTGATATCAGTCAGTCAGCCAAGAACTTTAATAAATAGTCCTGAGGGGTTTAAGCCACCAGGTTGTCCACGAGGGACACTCTAGCAGCCGCTACTGTAGGTGGCGCCCGAGTCGGAGCGGGAACGTGGTGGCGTTCTGCCAGTTCTTGGGCCCTCTGGACTGCATTTTGGTTTCTGAGACTGGGGCTCCCGAGTGCCTCCTCCCAGTCGAACTCACTGGTGAGAGGTCCTCGAGGTAACGCGGGACATTGCCAGAGCATGTGTTCGAGTGAACAGTACACTTCTGAGCAGTCTGGGTATTGTGAGCCTAAGTCTGAGTTGTAACGGCTCAGTCGGCCCCGTGATGGATACGATATCGTTCGTAGCATGCGAAAAGCTACCTCTTGCGCGCGTTCGAGCTTTGCATGTGGTAAAGGGTATTGACTTCCATCGTTTCGGTAGTAGCAGGTAATTTCGTGAAAGGTGACTAAAGGATCATTAAACTGTACGTCTGGGCCCAGCTCTTCGGTGGGTGATTGATCGTCGCGGCGGGTCAGTTCTCGCGCTCTATCATGAGCAATTTCGTTGAGGTTGGGTTGCTGTGGGTGGACCTCTTTGCCCATGTGGCTAGGGAACCAAGAAAGGTAGTGCAAGCCCATGCATTTGCGCGTTTGTAGAACGTAAGCTCCTACTCGAGCGATGTTGCCGATTTCGTAAGCCCGAATGGCGGTGTCAGAGTCTGTGAAGACGTGGGTGTGTGAGAGGTCTATCATTGCTAAAGCTATAGCAACCTGCTCGGCTATGGCGCTCGTTGCTAGCCTAACCGAGGCGCTGAGCGTAGAGCTCCGTTACCATCTACTACCGCTATAGTGCGAAGGTGGAGGCGTCATTCTATTACGCCGCATCGACAAAAACGGTAGAGTTGCGATTCGCAGCGGTACGGTTGAGGATCGCGCGAGCGCGGGCCAGGCGTCTGCCTTTGTTGTGTTGCGGGTGAACATTTTGCGAAAATGAGTTTACCATGTAGTTAGCGTGGACAGCTCTGGGGAGGGTTACTGCGCGTTCAAGGTAAGGTTGTGGGGACATGCCAGCCTCGCTTAGAAGTTGGCGGCCTGCTTTGGAGGAGGAGAGGCGGATCACTTGGGTCGTGGTCTGGGCCTCGATCCCTTCATCGATGTTGTTGTGCATGCCTAGTTGGTCGAGACGCGAAGTACTCGTGTTCTGAGGTAAACCAAGGACCTTTTAATGCTTTTGCGCATGAGTGTGTTTAGTTTTATCTTTTTCATTTTTGTCCAGTTGTGGGCAGAGGCAACGTAATTGATGTGGCTCATGAGGAACGCGTGGTATATGCCCAGAAGGTTGGTCTCTCCAAGGCATCGTCTGTGACTCGAGACTCACTGAATCAGTCGGAGAATGTTTTCCGTTTTTGCTGTGGTGTGTGTTATCGTTCGTGCATGGCAGATATTCCGCACAAATTTCTGGGGCTCGTACCCCCTTGTGATTGGACCAACTGTTGTCTGCTTCATTTTTAGTGTGCCTGCGGCGTGTAGTGAGATATGAACGAATTTATTATGCATGATTGTTGTTGTTTTTTTCATTCAGGCCGCACAGTGGCGCACACAAGAGAGACAGCACAAATTGTATTGCTTGCGTGAACAGCTTCGTTAAAAAAACTACTTTTAAAGGGTGCAAAAGAGGCATAGTTTCGCTTTAAGGGCGAAACAATGATTGCGACAGAGACAAATAAGAATCTGAAACGATTAACGGGAAACAATTAGATGCTTGCGAAGTGTCGCTCAAGCGCAAAGAACACGCACAAGGAACACACACGGGACGAGTGCGAAATCAAAGCTCGACACTCGCACTGCGCTGCTCAAACACAACGAAGGACGCTCGGAAAAAACGCGCAGCCATATACGTACAGGATGAACGGGAACTAACAATGTCACAGATGTTACATATTTGTGTTTGATCATTCGCTCTACAACTGTCCACTGCGCCAGCGCCTCCTTGTTGGACATTCGTGCGCATCCTGCGTCGCGGTTTCGTTCAAAACATTGCCTGCCCGCCATTCCACGTCGCAAATTAGCTTCTCTTAGTCTAACCTTGTCACGCGTAACCAAGAGAACAGGCGAGAAAGAAAAGAAGGCAAAAGAAATGAATGACCATTTCTCGTCTCATTTCCTAGATGGCGTTGCTCTGCTGCTATGCTTTGAAGTGGCGCTATTCTCCGATTGGCTGCAGCGCGTGCTTTGTCTGAGTGCGCGGACAACGAGGACCCCTTTCAGTGTCTTGAATAGTCGCCGTACATGGCGGATCGTTGGTGGGGCATGGACGAAGAAGAGTGGCGGGTGTGTTGAAGACGCTTGCGCTCGGCTTCCTTGGCTCGCGTCTCGTCAGTGTTACCCGCGCGCCGTCTGCATTCTCCAACGCGATCGGACGCATGCACAGGTAGACGGACGGGTGCTTCGTTCCACTCATCACCATTCGCTCCGTGTATATGCTGTGCTTTTTAAGTGTGAATACACTTTATAAACGACCCCAAAACATCCACCGCCGTCGGCGGCGTCCGCAGTCTTCTCTCTACCTTTAAAAGAAAGGGGACTTGGCGGGCCGCAGCGCGACGCTCTACCGAATAAGCCACGGACGAGACGCTGATATCGGTGTCAGTAACGCGCCTTATACCTCCTCCCCCTTCGCCCGCTCCTCCGCTCTCCTCGCTCGCTGCAGCTGCGCGCGCACCCCTCTCTCTGGCGCGCCCGCCTTCTCTCTCAGTCTCCCGTTGAGAGCGGGTTGTGAGGGGGAGTAAAGTTAAAATCCGTTGGCATTCGCCAGTGAGTTAACGTAAACTTCCCCGTGTGATCAAATTGCGATTCCCAGGAACCATTACACCATAAAGGCACCATGGTGTGATTAATAAATATAATAGTGCGAATTAATAAATACCCCTCATAGCATCACCCCGTGTATTCGCACTTAACCATGTTCACCCTCGGGGAAATGCTTGGGAGTTTTTTATAGGGCGTGTATCAGTTCAAGCAAAATGTATGGACATTCGCACTATCTCGCGGGTGGTACTTCACACGCCGATGCGCTTCCGAGATCGGCGCAGCACCAGCGGTAATGGTGCTTACGAATTGTTTCACTGTTAGTAAAACCGAAGAACGAGTGGCACGTGGCAAAGCTGACGCAGCGCGCTGCGGAGCGAGAAGCCACCGTGATTATAATTGTGGTGGCGCAATTTGTAAACTTATTTGTGGCTTGTTTTCCTACGTAAATGCATGTACATATACGGACATGGCAGCTACGGCAACCATTCGCTTAGAGTGTCCATATAATTGCAATAACAGTAAAGTGGAGCGACGGCGCGCTGCTAACGACGACGTGCATTTGGCCCATGGATTTCAGGCCTAAAGGTAGCGAGTGAACCTTTCTTGTAGTGCGAGATTAGTTGACTCCGGCCGCCATTATATACTATATATGGTCAATAACCTGCATCACAAAACCGAGTACACTTAACAAAAACGGGGCATGCCAGAGTGAAAGATATGCGGCACCGCCGCGGTGGTCTAGCGGATAAGGTACTCGGCTGCTGACCCGCAGGTCCCGGGATCGAATCCCGGCCGCCGCGATCGCATTGCCCGTGGAGGCCAAAATGCTTGAGGCTCTCGTGTACTTAGATTTAGGTGCACGTTAAAGAGCCCCAGGTGGTCGAAATTTCCGGAGCCCTCCAGAACGGCATCTCTCATAATGACATGGCGGTCTTGGGACGTTAAACCCCAACAATTGTTAAAGATGTGCGGCTGACCTACAGCGTCTCCCTGAGGTAATTGGGGACACAGCCTAATTTGTGCGCTCGCCTATGGACGTCACGTCGTGCGAAGCAAATGTTCAAGAAAACCCAGTCACGACACACGTACTGCGTAACTGTTTATCACGGCTACGCTTCGTAGAGTAAATGCAGTAAATACAATCCGCCATTTTGGTTACCGATCAATGATTTATTGAACGAAGGAATGCATAGCTGTACGGGGCTATACTTCTGAAGTGTTGCGGTTCCAGAGATCAACCGAGAGTAGAGTCAAATATATTTCGAGGCGGGGATTAAAAAATAAAGGAGAGCACTGCACGTACAAAGAAGTGCAGTGCAGTGTAGCAAGCTGGATGCTCGTCTGGTTAACCTCCCCGCCTTTCCTTGCTTGCTCCCTCCCTCCCCCCCCCTCTCTCTATCTTGAGACTGTTTCTTCTTGCCACGTTTAGCAATGGCGTCGCTTTGTTCGCCTGTCCTCGTACTGCGTGAAATGGGAATGCCCCTTGTCCTGCTGCTACTGCTTTTTTTTTTTCAGGAAGCACAGCAATTACGTGGTCACGTGGCTCAGTTCGGTGGCTCCCGTGGTTGGCCTGGAGTTTCCCGTTCAGTACTCGGCCATCGCTGCACCGCCGTCCTCCTCCTGACGTCCTGCGGAACTTTGTGACGGACGTCTTCCCGTTACGTTCGCAAAACGGCTTCCCGTTACGTTCTGTACGAAGGGCGTCTTTTCTGGACTGCGATGCACGAGTCGCACGTACCTGGAGCACATTGAACGAACGTGCGCTGCTTGCCTTGCCACTTCAGCTGCGAGTGCCATGGGTCCAACATCTCTGTTTGTCTTATTCAGTTGCTTCTTTTTTTCAATCGCGTCGGAAGCAATAATAAAAACAAGAGAATGCCGTGGTGTGTAATTTAAACTACGGTTTTTGTGTTCGCTCTACGCGTTGATGTTGGTTGGTCACCATGGTGTGTTCCATACTCACCGAAGACGGCTAAGTATAAACATTTGTCGTTGAAGTATCTGCCTTTATTATGTTGTGTAGTAGTTGAAACATTAGTTTTAGCCTGCTTAGTTTCGTTTGGTTTTGTAGTGTCAAAATACGAGCGTTCTTAAGTAGGTCTGTCGGTGAGTCAGTCAGTCTATAATCTTTAAAAATGCATCTTGTTTTTGTTTGAACTACTTCTGTTTTATTAATCTCTTGGTGGGTAAACGGGAACGAGACAGGGATGGAACACTCTAGTACAGATCTGACGAGGGTTGTATAAGCTATTAGTTTGATATTCGGTGGTGCGTCCTTAAGACATTTCTGTAAAAATAGTATTTTCAGGGCTGCGCTAGTTATGTTATCAATGTGAGTATCCCATCTAAGATCATTTGAAATTGTTATTTCTAGATATTCGTGGTTAGAGACTGGTTAAGGGGCAGTTGTCAACAGCGTAAGAAAAGTTGGACCTGCCAGTGTTTTTTGCGGGTTGTTGCCACGGAAACGCATTTACCAATATTAAGGGACATTTGCCATTTTTGCACCACTTGTGCACATACTATAATGACCTGTTCTGAGTTAGGTGATAGGTGGGAGTATTGATTTCTTGCTAAATTACGCAGTCATCTGCAAAGAGCCTAAGTTGTGCATTAGTCGAGAGGGGCAAATCAATAATGAATATTGCGAATAATATCGGTGCTAGGACCGCACCCTGTGACGCGGCTCACGTGACTGCTGTTGTTCTAGAGGTGGTGTCCTGTAACTGTACAAATCGTGAGCGATTGGTTAAGTAACCCTTAACCACTACACAGTGAATAATGGTACTATCTCCTCGAGCAACTTTCAATTTACTCATTAATTTGGAGTGTGTTTCAATTTACTCATTAATTTGGAGTGTGAAACACGATATAGTGGTTTTGAGAAATCTAAGAATATGAGGCCGATTTGTTTATGGCTATCGCTAGACTGGGCAGCATCGTGTATTAATTCTAAAGGTTGAGTAATCATTGAGACCATTTCAGAACCCGTGTTGTGCAGAAGGCAGCATGTTTTTTTTTCGTAGCTAAATACTTCTGTGTTTCCATACCATATGCTCTATTATTATACACACAGAACAAGTTAGTGATATCGGTCTGTTGTCTGAAACCACGGTATTGCTGCCTGCTTTGTGCATCGGAATAACTTTAACGGTTTTCCATATGACGGGAACAGTGCGTGAATGCAGTGATTCGTTAAAGATTAGACATAAATATCTTGCTAGCCACTTTTCATATCTTTTAAGGAAGACGTTTGCTAAGTCGTTAGGACCCGGGCCCTTCTTGGCATCAATAATTTATAACTGGTTGAACACGCCTTGCTCGGTAACTGTAAGGAGCTCTATTGCTGAATGGTTGGAAGATTGCATGAGTGGTGTGTCTCCGTCATCTACGGTAAAAACTGACTGAAAATAATCGTTGACGGAGTTGACGAGGTCGTTGTTGTTTTGAGAAGAACGCATGGGCTTATAAATTTTCTTTGGTTTTATATATTTCCAACTTTTATTTGGAGCGCTTATAAAAAATGTGGAAAGTATTTTTGCAAAGTAATTATTTTTAGCATCTTTAGATCCAACTGTAGCTAAAAGCTACAGTTATATCGCGTCTCGTTGCAATACTTAGGATCGTGTTCAGTTTTTCTTGGACATTTTACTTTCCGTTGAACATGCATTACGTCACTTGTTATCCACGGGTCTAGACGCCCAGTTACTTCTTATTTTTTTATCGGTACGTCTACTACAATTTGTTTCGATGTCAGTGGATAGGTTATCTGCGAGTGCTACGAATGAATCATATTCGAAAAAAAATACAGTTGATTATGCTTGCGTCATCAGCATGGGTAAAGTCAGGATAATAAATTGATGTAATTGGCAGTAATTCACACTTAAAGCGCAATAAATCATTTTATGATCTGATATTCCCTCCATAGTTTTTGTTTTAGTAGCTCCTTGCGAGAAATGATCACTTAAGTTAACTAAATCAAGAATGTTCGACGATGATGCATTTACTCGCGTGGGACGGGTCACTACCTGATGTAAATTGAAATTGAATATTAGATCATATAATTATTGTGAACTATCAGATTTAAAATACGTAAGTTTCCTATCTATTTCGGGCGTATTAAAATCACCCATAAGGATTAGTCTGGCATTTGGTATACATGGCTCTGCACATAATTGCAAAGTGAAGCAAGACGTCGCTAGAAGCAGGGGGGCTACAGTACACGCAGCCCACAGTGATGGCATGTAAACCAATCAACAAGTTGCAAAATATTTTTTTTCTACTCCTTTAACGTCTGTAAGAACCTTGAAAGATAACTTTTAATTGACAAAAATAGCGACGCCACCACCAAGTGTGGGTTGATTTTTCCGTTTGATAGCGTAGTTGGGGCTACCTATTTCCTGTATAAAAGTTGATAGGCGGGCTAGTTGGTATATATTCACAATGAAATAATTGGGAGCGCGAACTAACGGGACACACTAATGGTGTCCCGCTGGTTTGCGCTCCCAATTATTTCATTAGAAACCTATTTCCTGACCACGAATGCCACTTGACAGCCAAGTTTCGGTAACTCCTACAAAATCGGGTTCTAGTTCTAGTAATAAAGATTCAAACAAATCAGATTTGTTCAGTAGACTACGCGCGTTTAAATTGATGAAGGTTACTGCTTTTTGCGGTGCCGTAGCTTCTGCGGTTCGTCTTTTTTTTTTTTTTGTTGCATAGGCGCTTGCATCATGGCTCACCGGAACGGGCTGATTATTTCCCCCATCCCTAGAAAAACGTTCACCAATAATCCAGAACTTGTCATAACTATAGGTCGCTTTTGCTGCTGCTTCCTTTCTTTATTTACCACAACTCTGCAGATTCTTCATTATTTTGCCAATTTGGGCTGAGAAATACTCACCTATAGAGTAATTGATACCCTTTAACTTGGAACAGTTCTGCAGTACTGTTATTTTGTCGCGATTATCGTCAAGCCGCAAGATTATCGGTCTACATTTTTTCGCTTTTGCCTTTCCTAGCCTGTGTATCCTTTCTATGGCAACTGACTCGGTTTTGAGGATGTTTTGAACGATAATATCATTCACTGCTCTATCCAAAGTGCCACTTTTTTTTTTTCGCTATCCGGAACACCATATACTACGAGGTTATTCCTTCTAGACCGATTCTCAAGATCGTCTATCTGGAGTGCAAGTTTTCGAACTGTACTTCCTGAAGGGCAGATATTCCGGTTACGGAGTTGACTATTTTGCTGCCCAGGGCGCTAATATTAGCCAGCTTCGACTCAATATCAATAAGGCGTTCTTCTTTTATTTCTTTTAAATTGTCTGCGCAACTGTGTAGCTGCTTTGAGAACTGGGTAAAACCAGGGCCGGGATTAATTTCTGCGTTTCCAGACAATAGCTGTAAATTTGCAGCACAATCTACAATACTAATTTGCAAGAAAGCAAATGAGCCGTGGGCTCGGCAGCATAATGAAAAACGGTTCGTTAGAACGAAAACATTTTCCATGGCGCCTGCTCACCTGCATGAAGTACAGAAGGGGAATAGCTGACCGCATCGTTGAGTGGCCACCGCGCCCTTCAGCCCACAGTCGATTAACGCCAGCATTTATATAGGCGAACCGGTGCACTTCGCTACACCAGGGAAAATGGCCCGGTGTCTTGTTGCCCATGCGTGGTCGTCGATAAAAGCAGCGCGGTCAAGGTTTAAAATCATCGGTGACGTGTACTGGTTTATTGCGGTGGAAAGCGGGGCTGCCACGTCCCGCGCCTATTGGTACGTCGTGTCCTGCTGGTCACTGCAGGCATCAGCTTTCCTCTGTGAGGTGATATCGGTGGTAGTGAATCGATCGCCGTAAGCAGTGTCGAAGTTTGGGCTTGTTGGTGCATTGTGATGACTGAGAACAGCCTAAACAAGAAACGGGGACACAGGAAGACGACACACGACACAAGATGTACTGTGGGTCACGATGCCGAGAAACCGAAGCGTCTAGTCGTCATACCATACTATCACAAGATATCGCACAACCTAAAAAAAAAAAAAGCTAAGCTCTGAAGTTAGGGTTGTCTTTTCGGCTCCCAATTAAGAAGTTGGCCAGCCCTTGTGGCCTTGACCACGACGGAAAACCCAAAGGTTGTAATAAGACGCATCGAACTGTTTTTTGTCCCCTGCATCATTTGCGTTGTTTCTCGTCACTCCGCTTTCTTATGGTAAAGAGTATATTGGACAGACGAGCCGTTCCTTAATGATAGATTAAGAGGACATCGTAATAACGCGAAAAATGGCCAGGAGAGTTGGCTGATCATTCAGTGGAAATCCCGCGGCTGCGCACCGAAATTCAATGCACTCGCAGTTGTCAAGAGAACATTTGACAAGCTGAGATTATTGAGGCTAAGGCTATAAGTGCGTCAGCACTCCCTCGCTTATGCCCAGTGATAAGGAATTAAGGTTTGTACGCATATCATACGTGTCATGCGATGTTATTATTCTGGTGATATAGGCGAACGTGTGGTGGTAATAAACATTATGTTGGAAGTTGGCACCTGTGTCGATTGATTTGATTGATATGTGGGGTTTAACGTCCCAAAAACCACCATATGATTATGATAGACGCCGTATTGGAGGGCTCCGGAAATTTCGACCACCTAGGGTTCTTTAACGTGCACCCAAATCTGAGCACACGGACCTACAACATTTCCGCCTCCATCGGAAATGCAGCCGCCGCAGCGGGGACTCGATCCCGCGACCTGCGGGTCAGCAGCCGAGTACCTTAGCCACTAGAACACCACGGCGGGGCAGTTAGCGCCTGTGTCGTGTGTTGTCTTCTTGTGTCCCGGCCCTTTTCTTTGCGCTATATTCAGTCGTCATAATCGCAGTAGAGTACAGTAAACGACA